AGAGATTGAATTGAAGAACGGGAGAGTAAAAAAGGTTCAATGAATCTATTGTCTGAAGCAATAAAATTGCAATCCTAAGTATGAGACAACTATCTTACACAGACATATTAGCATATGCATTGAGAGGATCAATGCCCAATAATAAATAAGAGTTTCATGTTTCAAATATTCAACTATGAATGACGTATTGCAGACTTAAGTTCTAGCCTATTAAATAATTTTTCATTCAGATTATATTTGAATATCTTTGAGTTGTACTTGACTATACCACTTCCATCACTTGAGTGTTTGTGGTATATTACTGCTAGTTAGTTATTCTCAAATTCTGTTGTGAGTTTTTACTTTTATGTTTTTACAAACATGTTTTTTCCGATTGCATTATTTACAGATTTGATGTCAAAGTTGGACAAAATTGATATTCATGCTCCAATTTGAGTGGGGTGTTGGAGACCAAAGTGGGTCAATATTAGTTTATCACTGATTTTTTTAATGTTTCTTTCATGTATTTATTGTTTTACTATTTGAACTTTCGGAAGGATTTATATAACAGTAGTATCATGTCTCAAAGTCCGATTAATTCATGATCTGAATAGCAAAACTCGTTGAGCGTACGATAAGGTCACAATACGTCAGACGTACTCTAGTCTTCACTATATGTATGACAAAGGTTGTACTCCTGACTTTACGTTCACAATTATTAGATATCTTTCGATATCTTTGGACGAATTAGAATCTTTGATTATTGTAGTTTGATTAAATGAATCTTATAGTTTACGTTTTGATAGTTAGAGATTGTGGTTCACTCATTAGAGGTTAGGGTATAATATCATACCCCAAGATTCAGTTAAATCATTTTTTTTAAATATTAAAACTCATTGGGTGTATGTTAAGGTTAGCATAAGCCATGCCTAGTCTAGGGTGACCATATAGTGACAAAAGATAATGTACACCTAACATATATATATATATAATATACACATTCTTTCACACTAATGTTGTAATTTGTTATATTTTGACGAATCCAAATCATCATTTATTAATTTTAGATTAAATGAATCTTATGTTTTGAGTTTAGAGAATTAAGGACTGTGGTTTACCCATTAGAGGTAATGCTATAATATTTGGTTAATTTATGGTATAAATAGCAAAAATAGATGGTGTATGTAATGTTAAGATACACTAGGCGTACGCTAGTGTGAACTATGTATATATATATAGATGGATGATTCTATTTTACACTGGTTAAAAGTTGGAGTACCACATAATCTTGGTAAAAATATTATATATAGACTTTGAATTGACCAGAGTATGGGACATGGTACTATATGTACTCTAACCGTTAGATGTATAAATCTTATACACTAAGATCAATTTAACTAAAACAATAATCGACGGTCATGATTCACTGAAATACATCCAACAAATGATATGCATCATCTTAGTGTCCACTCATGATTCATTAAGGGTTATGGTATAATATCATGGCCCAAAATCCTGTTAATTTGAGGGTGTAGATAACGTTCTTACCAAGAGTATGCAGTACTCCAACTTTTATCTGATGTCATATACGTATATATGGTTTTGTCTACTGTGCTATTAGTTAAAATTAGATGTGGCAATTAGGATCCAAATCCACGAATACTTCAATCCATTGGATCCAATCCACTTGATCCATGGATCCACCAATCTACGAATCCAATCCACTTGCCACCTCTAGTTAAAATCTAAAATTCGACGTCTTACTCTAGCTACTTTTAGAGTTGGGAGCGTAGAATCCAGTCATCTATGTGAGTGGGCCAAAGAAGCCACCTACATGTATATAACAAGCACTAACCTATTTGTAAAGTATAATATATGTATGGGTTTACACTTATTCAATATGTTTTTTATAAGTAAAATTGTTAGTTATTACTCTTTATTAAATTGATCTTATGATACGATTTTAGAGAATTACAATTTACTAGCTAAATATCCCTTTTAATTCTACATATTAGATTTTTTTTTTCCCTCAATATATCATAACACTGAAAATGCTAGTTGTCACTTAAGATACTTTACTTCTTCAGAAGAAAAAATACTTTACTTCTTCAGAATAGTTGAATTAGTTTCTGCCAACCTAACCAGAAAATGACCACTAGCAATTAAATTTAAGTTGCACAGAGAGTGACACATAAGGCCGCACATTAAAAGACGAAAGAATAGCGAAACAGCCACTGGGCTCGATCGTTAGGTAGGCGTAGGTTCCTTTATGGTTAGCAATTAGCTTAGATAATAGTTACAACTCCGTGGAGCATTTGAGTCTAAATCACTAGATTTGAAATAATTAAATAAAAAGTTCGTTATATTGTAGAAATTATTTTTAAAAAATTTACGTTGTTTTGTATCTGCGATTACTGGACATTAAATAAATTGAAATTATTTTTTATAAAAAACATGTTTCCTTAATTAAAAAATTAGGAGCTACTCGAAAAATATTAAAAATTTAATGATAAGGGTATTACAAGTATTTTAATTACAAAAAAAGAGAGATAAAGCAGAAGAAAAAAAAATCTCAAAAAATAATATATAAAATCTTTATCACTCTAGAGATCTTAAATCTCTAAAACTAAAATTCACGATACAAAAGAAAAAAAAAATACATAACTTTCTACTGAATCTATAGATTCAATAAATCTGTTGTCGAAATCATTTTGTCCAAACCAGCCTAGCGTGTCTATATCTCCTGCTGAAGGGAGCTATTTGGTACGTGTCATTCCATATGCTAATAACACGAGGCATCAACTGTTTATGTTTTCCGGCGATTCAAATCGATTTATTACTACGTACGTACGATTGGTGAGATCTGTAACGAGAGGGGTTCCAGACTTCCAGACTTTCCATTGAGTCGTCAGCTTGCATTTATGCATGGCCATTAAATAATGGGCAACAAGGCAAGGACAAAAAAAAGGTCAGACCTAACCACCTGCAGCTACATTGGTATACTAGAATCCAAGATTAGCTAACCCATCAAGAACAAGTGTCCAGCCACGAGTAGTTGTCTTTAGTTAGATAAACCAAATTTTCAATGGGTGCCAACTATTTTATTTAATTTGTCACGGAATATTGGTGGTGTTGATGGTTCACTCAAAAAAAAAAAAAAAAAATTGGCATAATCTGAGAAGGCAGTTCATAGGTCTAAATAGGGGGCACGTCCAATTGTATGCGATGTGTGCCTTCCGATCCACTTCCGTCCGAAAATTTTATGAGAAATTTCAGTTTTGCTAATTCTAAAAAATTTCAGTATCTCCAACGTAGTTTCGATAATTGTAGCCGACCACCTCCATCATATTAGGATGTTAATAAAATTTATAAATATTTGGGAGTTATTTTATTTTTATATTAAGGTGGTTTCTACCGTGCATTCACAAAAATGATTGCATTTTACTATGTACCCAACTCTAAAATTAAATTTGAGACATTAGTCTAATATGTTGGTATAACTTATGATTACAGCTTATAGATGGATATTCCTAAGCTCTAAACCTTAACTTGAAACCCTACCCTAAATCATAAATTCTAAACCCTAAACCCTTCAAGTCAATGTAAACCTTGAAAGATTTTTGTGCCAATTAATACATGTTTTTGTCCATCATTGACATTGTTTTGACATGAATACCTGCTCAGAATGATGATTATGAGGTAGGCGCATAATAAGCATCACAAAAAGTGAGTGCTCTGAAAATAAAACTTTTAATTAAATATATCTATTTAAATATTTTTGAATTGAGAACCCTGATTTCGGCCCCTACGTCAAACATGATTGATGTTGGAGCGGATAGGGTGCTAATTAAAAAAAGAGTTCGTCGTTGAATCCTCTACCTCACCTATTGCTGAATCTTGACGCAATATGCGATGAAAAGTTAAAATTCATCACGAATTGTGCACTTTTGCAATGAATTTCGTATAGTCTCAAAAGAATGCGTAGCTAAAAGTGCAGTTTCTTGAAGTAACTTAGCACCCCTAATACCATTTATTATGAATACCATGAAGTATACCACAAAATACAGATATAAAATACAACAAACTACACCACAAATATCATAAAACATACCACAAGACTTATAAAGCATACCAGAACCTTACCACACCACAAAATTCATAAAGCATACAAGAAAACTAAAAGCAGACCACGAGTTCCTGAAGTATACCCGAAACATCATAAAGCAGACCACAAGTTCCTTGAAATATACCACAAGTTTCTTAAAATATACCGCAAGTTTCTTAAAGCATAGCACAAGTTCCATAAAGTGACACATAAATCTCATAAAGCATACCACAAGTTTATTAAAACATACCACGAGCTTCTTAAAGCATATCAGATACCTCATAAACTTGGACCTATTAGTGAATTTTAAAAAATTTAGGTATCAAAATGTAAGATATCAATTTTTAGATACTATAAATGTAATTTTCTATCAATCTTTTTAGGACTTATATGCAAAAGGTTGAAACAAAAGAAGCTCCACCCGTATTTTAATCATGGTAAAGGAAACCGTAGCGGAAGTCATACCGGATCCGTTAATGGTAGGGTATTTTCTGGTACAACCGTGGTTCAACCGTTGTGTACCGGCAAAATATCATTTTTGTAATTAAAAATATATTTTTGTTAAAAAATCGTACTAGCATATTCAGGATACCGTTTTGGAGTAATACCGGAATAAAACCAAAATATACTGGATAACAAACCTGAAGAAACTAAATAGGAATATACTAGATTCATGATACGGTTTCATTCGAATAATTCCAATAAACCCCCAATGTTGTCCCTAATTTCCCACTCTAACAAACTAGAAAAATAAGCAAGCGTTCCTTCTTTAAGTCTTCTTCTTTGACTACCTTAGCAATGGAGCTTTCTTGATTCTTATCCCTTGTTGCAGTATACAACAAGTACGATTTTCTGATAGAGCAGTAACATATGGCAGTCTAAGAGCTATTTTCCTTACCTAATTTGCCTTTTGAGAATGATTAATTGGTTGTTGGGTTTGACAGTTTGTTCAGGAAAAGAGATCTGCCTCTATGTCTCCGATGTCGATGCTCTTGAGCAGTGGGAGAGAGACTTGATCTGGGATCAACACGGCGGAGCGGAGCTGCTCGACCTATCGTTGGTCGCGGATCCCCAGTCGCCACTCACCAAAGAAGAGAAGAGGAACGGCAGAGCGGCAGAGCGGCGAAGCACGGTCGGCTCGACCTTTTGCCTGTCTTGGGCTGCTGACTTGCCTCGTTTGTTTCGCCGACCAGGGGTGGCAGCACCGCAGGTCGCTAGAGGAGAGGAGAAGCGGCGAGGCAAGGCTGGGGAAGAAAAAACGATGAAGGCTCCCTCCCGATTCACTTCGATTAGAGATTAAGGTTTTTCGTAAATGGTGATTTTTTTTAATTATAAGTGTTGAAACGGCGGCGTTTCCTTCAATTCTAGTCTACCGCCTGTTGGAAAGAAATCGGCCTGTATGCCGGGTTGTGCCGGTTAAACCGCAAAAATCGGCCGAAACGGTAAAATTCCCTCTACCAGCCTACCGTATCGTTTCTGGTCCGGCTTCCGATTTTACCGGTTGAACCGACCGGTACGATCTGATTTCCTGTTCCATGATTTTAATTCAAAATTTTCACTCCCACGTGTAAAAGGTTCTATGACCATTTATTTCACTTATTCTTTTTAATAAAATAAGTCTTCAACGAATTGGAATAAGTTAAGACTCCCCTTATATTCAGAATTGGTTGAGTGACCAACTTAAGAATAATAATTTATGTGTGTACATAAAAAAAGTTTGATTCACAACTTAGTGATGATTTTTTTTTCAGAATATGAAAATTATCATGGCGCGTGGTGACAATTATAAATTTAATATTTTATTTATATGCTTATTTGTTTGTCTAATATATTTTATTTTTAGTTTTATGGATTTAAATTTTATGACTTAGAATTTATAATTTAGGGTTAAGGATTTATGATTTATTGCTTAACATAATTAATAAATTAGTTGTGAACCTATATTATATAATTACATTATACTAATTAATGCTACCTATTAATTTAAAATTCAATGTCTTAATTTTAATTTTAAAGTTGGGAACATAGTATGCACTCACACACACCCCATAGGTCACCCCGAATTACCGGGGAAAAAATATTATATTGCAAATCAAATTTATATGTTTTGTTAGAAGAATTTGAAATTAACAAAGAAGAGATCATGAAACATCCAGAATTTATGATCGATACATAAGTTTGATTATCCACTGAATATTTCTCGCTTACTATGGACTATCAAAATATTGGAGAAATGAGACATTGCCTACTCGATCACCAAAAAAATCTTATACAATTTGAGGGACAAGTTATGCAATATTTGAACTTTTTTTTTTTTTTCTGACAAGTTAATGTTCGTTTTAGGCCTATCTCCTGCATTGCAGTTGCTTCATGAGAGGCCGGACATCTTTGAATTAGTTAGTTTTAGAACGATTAATTTCTGACTTCTTACATATATTAACTCCTCTATTTAACTCCAAAACGTGTCATGTCAAATTTTTTTTTTTTTTTTTTGCATAGCTGGAGGAGACAGCTAAGAAAAGGAAGAATTACATGGGGGAGTGAGGTGAAGAAGAGTTACACTGGCGGGAAACAATCCACCAATCAAAAGAGACTCCCTGCATATCGTCCTAAATGATGGCCACTACCCCTGCTAACTGGTGTGCAAGCTCATGTATCCGTAGGGATAGACGAGACTGTGCTTCAAGAACCAGTTCGCGGCTCCCTTCCCGATATACATGAGCAATGCGCACCAGCCAGTCACAACTAACTCTCCTGCAAATGGCAGCAAACAAGGTGGCATAAGGGTGTACTGGATCATGCCTATCATTAATTAGCTGAATGGCGAGTTGCGAATCAGACTCAACCACGAGGTGGCCGTGCCCAAACTTCCATGCGTCATGTCAATTAAGTTTAGATTATTCCTAATAGCTCATAAATTTCTATGATTCTTTATCTACGTGAGAATCAATTGATTAGAAAGTTACCATTTCTTTCTTGGTCACTAATATTGCAGAGTGGTCACCAAAAGAAAAAATGGGAGTGCATGGTTATAACTAAGGGGTCGTTTGCTTCAAGGATTTGATACATGGATTTGGTACCAAAAACCAACTATCAAGGATTTAGGTACAATCCGTTGTTTGCTTGCACCTTTTTTGGAGACCAAATCCGTGGGGCCCACGGATTTTAATGGTCCAAATTCGTGGACCCCACGGACTTATAAATCCCACATGTTGATGTGGGATTTGGAATATGGCATAAATCCTTGATGAGATTTTACCCATATACCCTCATGCACTTTTAATATTTCAAGGTTGCCCTCAAATTTAACTATTATTATAATTAACAATAAATGAATAATATAAACGTTCAATTAATGTGCAAACATGAGTTAGATTTTTTATATCATTTATTGTGTTCTAGTTTTCTTTGACCTTTTCATGGAACGTGTAATTCTTTGTTCTCCCGATTCTAATATATGTTGTTATATGTCACTTTTGAAAAGGAGGACAAAGAATTGGTAATTGATTATGTTACGTTTAAAGTTAAAACGAAATTTTCTCGTTTATTATTATTGTCCATGTGGCAACATTATGCTTATTAGTATGTATTGTCCTTGTTTTGTGTACATATCATAAACATGTCAAACATATAGAAAATGATTGTAAGGTAATTTTGAAGTTTTGTCCTTGTTTTGTGTACATATCATAAACATGTCAAAAGTATAGAAAATGGCAGTAATGTAATTTTTGAATTCAAGTAGTAAATCCCACACCTTTAAATCCATGATAAAAACATCCCAACAAACAAAGGATTGTTACGAATCCATGATGCCTCAAATTCTTAATAAATCCTTGGGTTTTTTAATTACAAAACCCTCATTTTTAAATCCATGAAGCAAACGACCCCTAAAAGAGCCGTAAAAAAATAGTACTTTTATATAAACCAATGGTGAGATTTGAGAACGTGGGCCGTCTTGGCATATGTTGGGTGAAAAATGTGTGAACGTGATTGCTGACTATTTGCATTAGTAGCATTTAATACTGGACCGTAAAGTCAGAGATGAGGTTTGTCCAAAAAAAGAAAGAGGGCAATTCACTTCGAAAGAAGTAAGAAGAAAAAGAAAACACAGATCATAGAGGTGAAGACTAGTGCTCCACTACTCTTACCTCCATCAGCATTCTGATCTCTATATATGCAGAGGAAACCATTTCTAGCTTGTGTCGGAACTAAAACACCTCCACCCAATAACCCTAATTAACCAGAGGAAAGAAACCAGAAAACAGTAACGATGGAACCCCAGATTGAGCCGCAGCTGCCTCCGGTGAGCCCCAACGGCCTCTACTTCAACAGCTCTGCCGTTTCCCTCGTAATCCTTGCCGTTTTGGAAACCGAACAACCCATCAGAATCCCACCTCACCAACTTGTTTCCCTTCTCGACACCCACCTCCTCTCCCTCCACCCTCGTTTCTCCTCCGTCATTGTAAGCACACAACAATGTGCTGCTACGGTTTGAAATTTATTTTCCTCTTTTGTTGTTGAGATCAATGTTGTCAAAATCACGTTTTAAAGTGCAAAAATTTGCGTTTTTATGCTTATAGGTCACCTAAACGCTTCTACGCATTATCATAGTTTTAATAACTATTGTAGTTAAAAATTTACGGTTTTATACTTTTAGGTCATCAACACGCTTTTACGTGGAAATGCGTTTTTTACTACATTGTGTACGATCAGGTCACAGGGAGGGATGGAGAAAAACGATGGAAAAGGGTGGGAGTCAACCTCAAGGACCACATCAAGACCGCAGTTTTCCCACAAGGCAAGTCGCCGGAATACTACGAGGGCTGCTTCAACGACTACCTGTCGGAGATATCCGCCGAGAAGCTGCCCGAGACGCAGCCGCTGTGGGAGATCCATCTCGTGAAGTACCCGACGCCGAACGCGGCGGGAAACGTGATCTTCAAGATTCACCACGCCATCGGAGACGGATACTCCCTGATGGCGGCGCTGCTCTCTTGCTTCAAGCGATCCGACGATCCTTCTCTCCCCCTCACTTTGCCCAGCCACCGAATCCGGAAGCTGTCGTCGTCGGATGACGGGAATGTTGGATCTGGGAAGAGGGCGGCGGTGTCGAGAGTGTTGGCGGCGGTTTTGAGTACGGCGTCGGATTTGTGGCTCAACTTTTCGAAAACGAGGTTTTTGGAAGATGATCTGTCGCCGATACGGTCCGGAGATCCGACGGTCGGGCTCCGGCCGATCTCTGCGGCAACGATGACGTTCTCTCTTGATGAGATCAAACAGATTAAGAGTCAGCTTGGAATGGTATGATAATATGATTTTCTATAAGCTAATTTAATTTTGAATGAATTAAATTTTTATAATAATAATTATATTAATGCATTCTGGTTTATCAAGTTGGATAAGAGGTCAGGATTATTACAGGAAATCATAAAAAAAAATTATGATAACAACAGTCTGAAAAGAAAACTAGTTCCTATGTGAAAAAATATATTTGATTTGCTACTATCGGTTGTCAATACAAAAGTAACATTTTCTTCAATAAAAACAATTGACCAACCTTCACATCAGAAATTGTGAATGATTATTTGGTGATATATACATTAAAAAGTGAAATCTTGGTAGTTTAAACGATTCATATAATTTTATAATAATTTCGACATTATGAAATATGTACTGTATACGTACTTTGTAGGATGTCTTTTCAATAAAACTCTGACTATCGTACACCACTGACATGACTGAGAATTACGATGACAATATTAACGTACTTGGAGCATGCAGACTGTAAACGACGTGATAACGGGGGCTGTATTCTTGGGAACGCGACTGTACATGCACGGAGTGGATCCAGGATCGGACGGCGCAGACACCACGGCGTTAGTCCTGCTTAACACCAGGATGCTACGAAGCTACAACTCCATTGAGGAGATGGTGAAGCAAGAAACGAATTCCCCATGGGGAAACCACTTCTCCTTCCTCCACGTCACCATCCCCAAGCTCACTACTGTAACCTCAAACGACAGTGATGATGCGTTGGAATTCGTGAGGGCGGCCAGTGCCATCATTCGCAAGAAACGACATTCTCTCGCTGTTCCCCTCACCGCCAAACTCCTCCATCTTTACAGGAAACTCAAAGGATCCGAGGTATACATGCTTTCTATATATTTCTTCGTTACAATGACTAATTAGGTAGAGAGAAAAAGAGCGAGCTGAGATGGAGTCGTTTGTTTGTTTATACATGGATGGATCTGGGTGCAGGCTGCAGCAGGTTACGTGTACAGGGTGATGAAGAGCACGAGC